TTTGTCAGGTTCGTGGTACCTACGAGGGTTCTAAGCATAAATCAAAGGTAATTAGTTTTTAAAAGAGGTTGAGGGTACAAAACGCTGGTGTTAAAATATAGCTCATAATGATGACCAGTCTGCACTCTTTTGTTTTCGGCATGTGGTAACCACGTATTACACGTTGTAGCTAAGTACTGCGAAAGAATGCTAAATCGTAAACTTATCTGTATATAAGTTCTAGGATAGTATTTTTTCTAAAACTGTTATTTCACATATACACTGGGACGGTGTGCATATTATACATTTTATTCAACGTGTGGGTAATTATAAATAAAATTGTAATGGTGAATGCGCGTTTTGTTTGCTCAAAAAGTGATGGCGACGATAGTTGGGGTATATGGTTTTTACACTTGAAAAGTGCATAGGAACCATATTACTCGTAACAGAAGTGTGATAGAACAGTGTAAGGAGTATAACAAAAGCGAGGAACATTTATTTTATCGGTTATTTTAACAAGTCTGATGGAAAACAACTTCATGGCATTCCAGCCACCGAGTGCTCGTCAAGGTAACGTTCCTAACCTACAAACTGAGAATTGGTAATACCGTTAACATTAAGGTTAAATTTTGTTGTTATAGCATAGGGATTTAGGGGCCTTCCACAGTGAAACTAGTTCTGAATGATTTTTACCATCTCAGAATGCACATTTCTTAGTCATGTTTTATCATTTAAAACTGAGCTGTGGGTATAAAGTTCTTTCCAATCTTATCTGGTTAAATCTGATTTAATTTAAACCGTTTGTGTGTTTTTATGTGAATTTATTGTGAAGCTTGTCAAGTTTTATGTTGTATGAAAAAAGACATGTTTTTCTTTTCTTTTTTGTTTTGCAGACCTTGGAATCTGTTATGGTATAGCTTTATCTGTCTGATGATTCTCCAAAGGTTTATGACACTGTACACTTGTATAAACATATTGTATGTTGCATCAAACTTGCCTCAGATGAATAACATAATACTCCATAACCTCAAAGTTTGTGTGTTTTGGTCCATTACATCCTATGGAATAGGTGGTCCTTCAGTTTTAGGTGTCCAATGAATCTTCTTTATGTTTACAGTTTGTATTTAGTTTATGTATACAGCAAGGTTTCAGTCTCTTCGCATTGTATGTCTAGCGACTTCTGTTGTTTCCAGTTTTACTTCTTCGATTTCATGTGGGTCATCTGACAACCAAGCCTGTCCATCTCCCTGACTTCCCATAGCTCTTTATCAGTTTCTTCTTCCTTCATGTGACATCTTTCGTAACCTGCCGTTCCCACTTAATCTTAGTTTCCTTCTTGGATGTTTTATTTTCATGTTCAGAATCTTCTTATTTTTGCCCCATCCTATGATATGAACATGGGGTCAGACTTTAAGAGGATAATCATAATTTTTGCTATCTAATGAAATTTGTTTTTCTTCGATGTAGTAGTGATTTGATTCTTTAATGTAATTTAAGCCACATCTCTAAGGAATGTAATTTCTGCAGTTTCTATCCATTTTTCCCCTTCTTAATGTTATATTTTAGTTATATTTCAGTGTTAGGATTGACATAATTTTATCAAATGTTATTTGTGGAACTTTTTTTAATATAGTTTTTTTGTATAATGTGTCTGCGTGGAAAAATATTTGTACAGATGTACGCCAATTATTAGATGTAACATAATAACCATCAGTGTATCATGGGAGGTAGTAGAAAATGAAGCCATATTTTAAATGCTTTTATTGTGCTTTGTGTACTTTTAACATGAATATGAATAATATAAAGCATATTTAAATATCTGTCCAACAGAACTTGCAAATCGCAAAATCTTGGAAGAGATACAACTGAAGAAACAGCAAATTCTTAAGCAAGGAGTGGCTCCAAGTTTGAATTCTCCTACCATACCACCGTCATTATCTGCTGTGGGACCTGCCGTTAATTTGGTAGGTGTCATGTTTTAGTTTTGCCTGCTTTCATATCAGGTCACAATAACAGTGGCTAAATAACATCACAAGTGTCATCATATAGAAAACGAATAGATTTGCAGGAGAAACTTATGTTAGGTTATGTTTCATGACATAGTTTAAATTTGTTACTTATTGTTTTTCAGTTACTTATTCAAAACATGCACTCAGAGCTGGTAGAAATAAAAAAAAATCTCATAGACATTTATTTTTGAAGTGGTGGATTACACAGTTTCTAGTTAACGTTGGTAGTTGGAGACTGTGATGCAAGAATACAGCTGTAGTTATGAAAGCGTCACAAGTTAGTTACATGTTACCTTCCGAGACAGTTTTTATAAGGATGACAAGCTCTAGCAAGCTAGCAGTGCTGTTGTCATTCAAGTTTATGGGTCTACTCTTAAAGGAACGGTATTCCACATAAATGCCATTTTGGAAAAATACTTTTATGTGCCTTCTTCATTACCACACTTTCAGTTGAGTATTGAATCAATTGTTATAGACGTTTGGAGAATGAAAGTTTCATGTTTGACAGCCTGTGTTCATGTCCTCTGAAGCACACATGATGTCATCTTCCCAAAGAGCTGCTCTTCAACATGCTCACAATTTATCTTTTGGATGTTTCATCACTCAAGATTCATCATTTGGAAATCTTATATTACCAGTTCTTCCACGATTTGACGTAAAATAGCGGCGACACATATCAAGAAATAACATGGCAAGTGTAAAACTTAAGACTTTGGAACAATATCTGCAGGAAGTTGATATATTTGAAAATCCTAAAGTGCAATTGGAGCAGTATGCTACGATGCCTCATATCGGAGCTCGAATGTTGCATACAATCGAGTCATCCTTTGGTGACATTGACGGTAAATTAATTGCAGATTTAGGTTGTGGCTGTGGAACTTTGTCAGTTGGAGCAGCAATGCTAGGGGCTGGATTGTGTGTTGGATTTGACATAGATACTGATGCCTTGTCAATATTTCATTCTAATATCAATGAGTTTGAGTTGAATAATGTGGATACTGTACAGTGCGATGTGGTTAAATGTTTACCAAACTGCTGGAAGAAACAGTTTGATACAGTTATTATGAATCCACCATTTGGAACAAAGCACAATCGTGGTATAGACATGAAGTTTCTCCAAATTTCCCTTGATTTAGCAAATACATCTGTGTACTCACTACATAAGACATCCACGAGAGAACATGTTCTCGCTAAAGCTGCTGACTGGGGTGTCAGAGCTCAGGTTTTGGCGGAACTGAAGTTTGATCTCCCGGCATCATACAAGTTTCATAAGAAGCAGTCAGTTGACGTTGAAGTAGACTTTATTCGATTCTGGTTTCAACGTCCAGTTAAGAAGTGATAAAATGACAGTGATGAATAGTTTTGCATGTTTGAGATGATTCTTTAGTTTGTGATCGTAATGTGTAAAATTATGAATAAAATTGATGTTAATCTCTGTATATAATAATCTGAATGTGTGGAAGATATCTTATTCTTACCCAAGATCCTGAAATTGTACATTACCAGTTTAAAGGGATTATTTATAGTTAATAATTTTCCTTCTTTGAGATCCTCAGTGTCTCACTTACTGAAATTGTGGGTCTGGTAGATTATATCACAGCTAAATATTCTATTGCCTCACATAATGGTACCTGCACCTTGTCGTGGTGGCGGGGCTTTAGTACCTCAGTGACCCCAAGAGCTACTGGTAGGGCCTCCCTAGCCAGATTGGTGGAGGGGGAGAGGTCAGACTAAGACCGGTACCCTGGTCCTCCAGGTTGGGGGTTGGTCGCAAAGCTAACAGCCTTGCACCGTAAAAAGGAAGATGTTTCAAAACCTCGATCAAAGCCTTGGACAGACGGACCTAACAGAGGACCGAATGGAAGAGGAGAATTGAGGAGGCCATGGACCGAATACGGACCGGAGAGCCATAGAAGAAGAAGAAGAACTATTCTATTGATCCATATTATCCTCTGATCTTTATCCTAGTTCAAGGTGCTGAAATAATTAGAACTTAAATTTTGGTAGCATTATCTCCTCTGCACCATATTAAACGGTTATACTCTCTATTAATCGTATTATGTAAAAGAAAGAAGCAGTATGGCTGCTGGTATTGCAAATAATGTCTTTACAATTCTTTCAGTCTCAGGGGGAGAATGTTAATTTCCTCCTAATTTTTTATGTTATGCAACCCTGCACAGCTGTTATATACTCTCACTTGAAAACATCGATCTTTATTTCATAATCGCAGTTTCTTCATTAGTTTTTTTTCTTTATTCCATTATCCTATGCCTCATTTCATTTTTGAATGTGACTATTCCACTACAGTATTCTTACAAAAGCTGTTTACAGTCAGCACATCAGATTTTCATATTTATGTGGGACTGTACAACAAGAAATTTGAAGCATTGGACATTCCCCTTGTGTAAATAACATCTGTTTCACTTAGCAGCAATAAACATTCTACAGTATAACAGCTAGTAACACTTGTTTATCGTTGCCCTCGGTGGACTAGTGGTTAGCGTGCTCCCCAAGGTTCCCGGGTTCAAACCCAGCCGAGTTCGATGGATTTTTAAGGGTGATAAAAATCCATAGCACAACTTCCTTTGGAGGGTAAGTAAAGCTGGTGGTCCCATGTCGTAGATTTGCGGCATATAAAAGAACCTTACGAGCAAAATTCAGCTGCCATTTCTCACGCAAGTCTCCCGATTAACTGCTAGATGGCTCTGGCAGTTAAATCAGGATTGAGAAGATATTCTGCAGTCTGTGGGCTGGTCACTCACTACTCGTAAATGCACACTTTGAGACCAAGAAACCTCAGGAAGCTAAAGTTCACAAGTGGGCTGTAGAGCTTGAGAACACTTGTTTATCATACTTTTATTTTCAATGGCAATTTATTTTAACATGACAAGTGCAATTTGATGTATTTTCAGAAATGAGCAGAGATAATGACTCGTTCTGAACTTTTATTTCACTTGTAAGCATGATGCAGTATGTTTATGTTTCTGTATTTATATCATCAGCATTATCTTTTTTCAAGGCTTAGGTCATGCAACCTTACTCTGGTATCTTATTCAGTGATTCCGTTGTTTCGCCATCTTCTTATCCCATTTAAAAGTTAATTCTTGGGCACTGTAAAAGTTGAATGTTCATCGCTGCTATATCTAATGCTGGACGTAAGATGGACCTGATTGGGTAGCAGTAATATGTCTGATTCCCATTTGGAAGGTATGGTCTTTTAATTCTGGTGAGGGACTGCCTATCCTGAGTAAAACGTCATAGATTTCCTTGGTTCTCATGTATAAATGCAAGGGAATAATACCCTAAACATGTCATGACTTCTTTCTGCAACATCAGTCTGTGTCTACTATTCATTGTCATCCAACATTTCATTCAGTTCCACATGACATCATCAAGGGATAGTAGTGCTGAAAAGAAAAACTCTCCCACTGTATGCCCCTGTGGGTCTTGGGGGGAGACGAGTACTGCTCCTACTCATTCTTTAACCTCAGCGCTAGATAGGAGTGAGTGGTCAACATCATGCCCCAACCATGTTCCCAGTAGCCATTGGATAGGAGGCTGGGTGGCCCTCAGAGCTGGTTTGGAGGCAGAGGCTAAAGGAAAAAACTTCTGCCTTTGTCAGGGATCGAACCCTAGTCATTCAGTCTGTAGTCAGTCATGATAGTGACTGAGTTACCCTGCTCATATCATCAAGAGATACTGTGTCGTAAAATAACCAGTGGTACAGATGCTTCCCAGTGTTTGATGCATTCTAATAGACTTTCATACTCCATATTTTAAAGGGACCGCATTCCACTCAGATTACTATCAAAGTGTATTTCTTGTATTTTTAATAACTGTGCTTATTACCTGGGAGGGATCTGGTTTGAATACCAAAAGGGAATAAATATATTCGCTCATCTCTTCCGGTAATGACAGAGGGATGGTGTAGTGGTAACACTTCAGACTTGTGTTTGGGAAGTACATGGTTTGAATGTCTATTAGATATCCACTCATCCACACTGATGATTTTTCATGTTTCTTTTTTTACTGTCTCCAAGATAATGCAACAGCATATGACTGCCTTCTTCTAAATCATTTCACCATTCACGACTTATATCAGCTATCTACCACATTCGATGATCCGCAGTCGGAGTATATTGTTAAATAAACTGAAAATGACTCAAGCTTCAAATAGAATGTGGGGAGCTTATATAACATGTGTTTGCTGTATAATTTTTGCGATTCATGTTGTGTTGAGAAACATTGTAGTTTGAATGTGACATTTTGAATATCAACTAATTACATGCAAACATTTGATTGTGAACCAAGATGAACTTGCAGATAGATTACACTATTTTCATATCTGTATAGAAGATTTGAAGCTTTTACAGTGACTGAATGCAATAAAATCTTGGGTGATCAGACAGATGATATGTTACTAACAATTTTTTAAATTCAGTGCCATGCTATCTCAGGCTTTGGCCTTCTGCCGCTTGGTCACTGGGACCGTGGGTTCGAATCCCACTCAAGGCATGGATGTTTGTCCGCGTTTTTCTGAGTTGTGCTGTCCTGTGTACAGGTAGAGGCCTTGCGACAGGCTGATCACTCATCCAAGGAGTCCTACCGAATGTCTAAATAGATCACGTAAACTCCAAAAGAGGCTGCCAAGACCCACACTGGGTTGTAGAGCCAGAGATTTGGTGAGTGTTCTTACAATATGAAAGAAAAACACCCAGTGCAATTTATTTATTTTTTTATTTTGTTAATAACTTGGCTAGTGTAAACCATTTAGGTCATCTTCAAGAGTTCATCATACCTTAGGTTATAAAACTTAAAATTAATATAAAATTATATACAGCAGGTGTTTACATTGATCATCACAGTAAAATGTATTAAATACATTTATTTATTGATGGAGTTCTTCAAAGTAATTTTGTATGTTCATAATTAGTGATTGCCCAAGGTTGTAGCAGTGATCTTGCTATTACAGTGAATTTATGATTGATTTGTATTGTAGAAGTAAAACAAGAACTTAAATGTGCGCGTGTTAGAGCATACATTACTCATCTTCACTTGCATTTATTGCAGACACAAATGTAATATTCAAGAACTCATTACACAAAAATTATTACATAGCACATAATCATAACTTGCATATGTGCAAGTCAGCAGAGGGCAAATTAAAATTTGGTCAGTGCATCAAGAAACTTGAAAACAGGTAAATCAGTTTTCATGAAATTTGATGTTGAAGATTCCTGAAATTTTTAGGTCATTTCAGTGTTAATTTAGATCAAAACATTTTAATATCCACTTCTCATAAGAGCTAATTACATCCTTAAGTTTGGCTCAAATGACTGGTAATCATGTTGCCTTGGATGGGCAATGTAGCCATCACCCAGCCACACACCCTACTCATTCAATAGTCAATTTTTTTTAAATACTTTAACATTTTTTGAATTTGAAAATTTTCAATTTTTGTAGTTTTGTGCGCTTTTTAGGAATTTTTTAGCATATTCTGATTTTTGGAGAATTTTGAAATTTTTTCAAAATTCTAACCACCCGGTCCGACTGCCGTACCGTCTCCAATGGACATGGTTTGTGCCTGACTCGGTCCCTTCACTATCAGTTCTCTGTATCACCAAGGTCTCTGGAAAAGCTTCTCAGCAAAGACTGTGCCAGGCTTATAACGGCGTAATGCTGACCGAGTCCGGCAGAAATCGGGTGAGACAGAGACACAGTACATCAGAAACAGTCCGAGAGAGACATGTTCTGCAAGACAGGTGGTGGAATTTTAAAATTTTCTCAAAATTTTCAAAAAATCTAAAAATGCTGGAAATTGTCCAAAAAGCTCACAAAACCAAAATAATTTGAAAAATTTCACATTCAAAATTTTTTCAAAATTTTAAAAAAATTTCGGTTTTTGTGCGCTTTTCAGATAATTTCCAGAATTTTTTGATTTTTCAAAAATTTTGAAAATTTTCAAATTTTTAACGGTCTCCTCAAGAGATGCATACCAGTCTCAGTGAATGACATCCTGTCTCTGCTGTACTCGGCCTCTATCTCACCAAGTTGCTACCTGCCTCGGTGTCTGCAACAACCGGCCTCTGCAGGTGTCTGGTCTCTGCAGGTCCGTCTTGCGTCACGTGTTGTGCACAGCTCATGAGCTTCTCA